AATATAACCTTAGAAGTATTCTGGTGAAAAAGTCAGAATAATATTCTAATATTTTATCTTTGGATGAAAAATCTTAAGATGTGTTCAGAAATAGAAAACTAAACACAACAGAATCAGAATTCAGACCAGCTATTCCGTAGTAGTTCATTCAAAGTATTTCTGTATTAGCTCTCTGAAATCAATCATTTGCAGATTTATACCTCAGAATTAACTTAATCATGCTCTGCAAACTGCTTAATATGACTATTTCAGCATCTTTTTGATGGAGACACCATCTGACTCAAGAATGCACCCTTTCAGAATGCAGGTTTTGTAAAATTCATAGCAATAAGAAGAAATGAGAAACACAGTATCACCTGCATAATACATCAATGCTGTCTAGAGTGTTGACACTTTAAATATTAGTAGCAATTAAGAACTTATACTCAAATATTTTTTTTTTTTTTACAAGAAGCAATGTTATAAAAGGGAAGGACCTTCAGAAGAACCAAGAGAGAATACAGTTTTCAGTACTTTGATAAATCTCACTCAACACATTTTAAATAATCAAATCAAATCACAGGATTTTGGAGCTTGAAATAATTTTAACATCTGCAGTGTGGCAGAATGGCACAATTCAATTTGCTAAATTGAGTTGAATCTGCTTGAAGACTTTACTTCTCAACTAAAAGACCTTGCCATTGATTCCATTCTTTTTAGCTCTGGATATAATTTTATCCAGCTAGCATCCTGAAGGCATTTACATTTATACTTAGATGGATAGTGCCTTTTGGAGGCAATCTGACGAAATGCCAAAGAAGACATTTAATAGTTAGACCTGCTAAAATATACAGCTAGGTCATTCCCTAAAAATGTAACTCTTCTAATAAGCTTTTGTGAGTATCTGAAAACCCAAAGATGTGGTTTTAAGTGCATATTACCTTTATCCACAGAAATATATATAAATATTTAAAGAATACATGCTAGCTACCCCTTAATGGTGAATTAAATTTGAATTTCCAGAGAAACCAAGGAGGCTGAAGGACATTTAGATTAAATGTTGAACAAAAACAGAGCAGCCCTGTAGTTTGGAGACCACATGCCAATGATTCAGACACTCAATCACACAGGAGAATCAATGCATTGTGATTTTCATAGAAAGGAGAAAATGGAACCTAACACATAATTACATGGGAAAAGGACATTTCATTTTCAAACACTTATAAGTATAATCCGTTGTTGTAGAAAAGGAAAAAAGAATATAACAGATGTAAGTAAAATATCTTACAGTAGCATTTCCCATCCCAATTGACATTTGGCTGTAGGAGACCTGTACTGCGTCCAAGCAGCAATACTGTGAGGAGGTCAAGGACTTGGAATCTGCATCAAGGCTAAACAGATTCACATCCCAGCTCTGCCACATCCCAGCTGGTAACCTAACCTTTCTGTACCTTGGTTTCCTCAGCTATAAAGTGGAAATAAGAATAGGACCAACTCACAGGGGAGTTACGTGAATAAAACAGCTTGAAATACGTAGAACATTTAGAATGCTGCCTGGAAAACAGTAAACACTCAACAAATGCTTCTTTTTCCTTTTCTTTTTCTTCTCCTTCTCCAACTCCTCCTCCCACTCCTGTTCCTTCTCCACTTCCTCCTCCTTTTCTGTTTTTCACATAAATAAGGGACAGGTATGGTATTTGTTTAGACTTACGTATTACTCTAAACTTAATATTATAAACATGCAACCAGTAATATTTCAGTTGGAGATAAAATGCTGTCTTTATATTGGTTTGTCTGAGTTTGGTAGTCGGTCAATTACAACGGTCAATCAATGCTGTACCTTCCTAAGGAGTCTGTGCACAGTAGATGCCATTCTCTTTGTTTAGATTTTTTCACGTTCTTTTCTCCAAATTATTTAGAGAGCTTAGAATTTCCTCTCAACCCTGAAGGCTAATAAAACTTCTCCAAACAACGAGCCTGAAACTTCCAGAGGCTCTGCCTAAACCTAATCTAAATATAGCATGAAACTCAATGTACAATTGAAGATTCATCAAGAGTGATTTAGCAGACTGTAGCTCAGTTTGGGTCCTGTGAATGAGAAACCCTGTTGTGTGCCTTTCGTGTGCAGCTGCTCAAAGGTATTTTCTGCTTTCATATCAAAGACGAAGGAAAATCTCCTGGAAAGTGAATGTGTAATCATGGCAGCTGTGGACTCCACTAAGAAAATTGACTACCTTAACCCACAGAAATGTCCCAGAAAGACTCAGAGCCATGGTAATCCAATATCTAAGGGAGATGATGTTGTAAAGGCAGAGTCTGGTTTCTAGCTACATATTGACTGCTTTGAAAAATGCCACCCTCTTTTCCAGAAAAGGACAGACCTCTAAATTAAACTGCTTTTAAGAATAGCCAATTAAGTCAAGAAATAAAACGTGCTGAATTTCTTTGCAGCAACACATAGCAATTTGTAAAAATGTATTAGCTTGCATTTTTTAAAATAATTATTCTCAGTAAATGTGAGAAAATCTTCAAATTAGGCACCCTTTTTCATTATTACCTTGACTTTGCAAAAATGTTAAGCTGGAGGGGGATAGGGAGGACAATTCGGAATTCTGTTTTCAACATGCTTGAGTAATTAATGAGGTTAGATTTCAATTGGCAATCCTTCTTGCATCTCCATATTCCATAAAATAAAAAGCAATGAGAGCATGCTGTCTTAATGATGGTACTATAAACAGTAATGTGAGATTTCCCTTAAGTACTGTTTTGAAGGAACATTTATCTCAATACTGGTCAGGTTGCTCTGTTCTAACTGCACTTGAACGATTTTAGGAAAAGTGCTTCTATAAACAACTCTAGACATGAAAAGAATTCCACAGTATAGATACATTTGAAATCGTATTGTGATATTTTGGAATTCTGATGGATACTTGCTGCATATCAATGACTTAAATATTGCCTGAAAATCCAGAAGTCAACTTTTCTGGTACAAGAAAAAAGCAAAAAAGTCTTCCCCTTAAATCTTGGAATTTCCTTGACTCGTTTTCTCAGAGTCATAAGGCAGTTCTAATGCACGGCATTAAGAAAATCTTCAAAGTTTTATGATTCCTTTCTGCATTAGAGAAAACTAAGGATTTTTCTTGGGATAATTGGCAATATTCTAGAAAACTATTTCCCAAAGTGTACTCCACAAAACATAAAGTCCATGAAATGGTATTTACAAAAAAGCTTTATGACCAAATAGTGGAGAAATGCCAGCTACTAAATCTTTATTATCATCTTGAAGTTTCTTTAGAATACATGCTCTCTGAAAGCAGGGAAATTTGTCCAAGCCTTGAACATTACCATAGCTCCAAGCCTGTAACAATGCCTTGCAATTAGCAGGCATTCGGCTGGAATAAATGAATGAACGAACAAACGAACATTAAAAGCTTTGAACAGTTCTCCAGCAAAGAAACTTCTTTCATTTTCTTTCACTCAGAATATCTCATACCTATTTGATCACAGGAATCTTTCTTTGTTTCTGTTAGCATTATAGAATATTTTAGGCATACTGTTTTTTTTTAAAGAGAAGACAGCATAGATAAGAATATTATGAACACACATGTAACCCCTATTCATATTAAGAATTAAATGTAACAAATACAACAGAAGTCTCTTGGGGACCCTTCCTGCAGTTCATTTGTCTCATCCTTACAAATCCTCCCTCAAAATGAGGTAATCTCAACATTAGGATTTATGTTCATTTACTAAGATGCTGCTCTGAGAAATTCTGAACTGAATGATTACTGAAGGCCCTTCAAGGGCTAAGATTTTAATTCATTTCTAGATAATATGTATGTTGCAAATGGTCTTCTGTAAAACGATCCACTTATTGCTTTAATACAATAACGAGTAAGAAATTAATGAAATGAAACACAACGTTACAGAAATAAGACGATGGACATGATGTAATAATGATATCTATGAAGAGGTTAGGCAGTTTCTTTTTCAAAAGGATTGATCCAAATTTTAAAAATATATATCTATATATAGATATAGGTACAGATATCTATAATATCTATACCTATATCTAAAGACAAAGTGACCTAAGAAAACATAGAAGCATTTACTTAACCTAGACTGAGCAATTAAGGAACTATTCCCTACAATTACAGAGGAAAACATCCCTAACAATGTGTATAATGGATTATGACTTACTCACAAAACTATCTGGGACTGCAAAAGAAAAATTGTGTCTAGATCAATGTCACAGTGTGCACACATTTGCATAATGGATGCTGCTAAGAACAGGAGACCCCCTTCCTGAGCCAAATAAACGATTACTAATGAAAAACAATCTCTTTTATCAAAATCCAGCATACTATGGTAGAGAAACACATATGAGCTAACATAGTCTAATATGAAGAGAACTAGTTTTAAAAATTTAGTCAATATCTTTCACGACCTTGTTTTGATATAACCTTTCTTCCAAAAATTTTCAAATACCATTATAGATATTTCTAAATTGTCTTAGAAAACCTTTGTATGCTGCTAACTAAATTTTTTTGTATGTTTAATTTTTGTCCCTTGCTTCATATAAAAGATAAAAATGCCTAGTCAAGTATATTCTCATGTTGCTCTATTTCCTAATTTTATTTATGAAGGATGTTGAATAGTCAATTTAGTGAAAAAAAATAGTTGAACTCAATACCTGTGCTGTGTAGATAATCCCATATGCAATTAAACCAAGGACTAGATTGACAAAGAATAGCAAGATGTGTGGATAAACTGTCACTTTATCATTTATCATTGGTGTCATGTAGTCTTATAGGTAGATACAAAGATTAGAAATTCGTTCCACTATTGAAACCATTTCACTTTTCAGGCCACCTCACTGAATTCTTCCTATGCTACATACCAACGGGGAGTGAAAAATAACCTCACTCTATATTTAGGGGCCCAAGTCCTTTCTCACAGTTAAATGAATGCAATGGGTTAGTAAGTAAAAATATTTATGAGAGAAAAGTATCAGTTCCTACCTCCGTTATCTTTTAGATGTAGTGCTATCTTGGTATCATCTGGAAGAGAAATTCAAAGTTACTACAATAGAAAAAACTTCAAAGGTGCATACATCTCATGACCAGTAATTGTCTACTAATGACTTAACAGTAACATGAATAGATTTGAGATTTTAATGAGCTAATTTCCACTGCAATGGGAGCGAGTCCTAGCCTTACATGATATAGTACTAAAATTTCTTACTGAGATTGTAAGATCAAGACTTTAGTAAACTATTATAGGATTCTTAAGATCTGTGGAAAAGTACAGCTATAATTTAACTTAAAATACATTTATTTTTATTATTATATTTTTGTTTTTACCTTTTTCTTTTTTGAGGAAGATTAGCCCTGAGCTAACATCCACTGCCCAATCCTCCTCTTTTTGCTGAGGAAGACTGGCCTTGAGCTAATAGCTGTGCCTGTCCTCTATTTTATATATGGTATGCCTGCCGCAGCATGGCTTGATAAGCAGTGTGTAGGTCCACTCCTGGGAGCTGAACTGATGCTGAAGTGGAATGCACAAACTTAACTGCTATGCCACTGGGCTGGCCCCAAAATACCTTTACTTTTAATTTTCCAAAATGACTTATTGTAATTAGACTCTATAGTTATGGCCTTTGTTATTCATTTTAAAAATCAAGATCAAGGAAATTCCAAATTAACTGGAACAGTAAAGATTTGTCAATATTTAAAAATTTAATTTTAAAAGTTATACGCTTATTCATTGCTAAAAAATACAACCAAAATCATGTGTGAAAAGGTCTTGTCCTTAATGAACAAAATGTGGGACATGCTTTTTTAATTTCAGTGGTTATATTTCATTTTAAAGACTAGGATTCAAATTGCAGAAATATTTTAGGCTATATAAAAATCCAAAATAATATGGATTAAAATATTAAATTAGTTTTAAAAGCAATAAAATGTATTTAGCAGCTGTCTTACACCTCATTTTATCACTTTATTCCAGTTAACTTCTAATATCCAATTAAATTTCAATCAAAAGCAAAAGTTTCCAATTTAATTTAATTTCTTATTCAAATGAAAGCAAAGTTTATGACAATAAACAAAACCATTGTTTTCCCCTTAGAGCTTACAGTTGGCTGACCAGTCTCACATTTCTCCTTAGCGGTATCATTCAGAATAGAAGGTTAATAAAGGTTGGCTAATATACTTTCTTCTCCTAATGAGTTGACCCATGCATTAATGTTCTGTCATATTTTTGCCTTTCCTAGCAGAGCAAATGTTTTTCAAGAACAATTTCTCTGACACAGACATCTAGACGTGTATATGTCTATAGGTTACAGACCAACATACTTTATTGACTGTATTCAAGCAAATATTAAAATTGCATGTGAGTAGAATTGTATATTGTTCAGAATCCAAAATCAATGGATATTTCATATACATTTTGCCTTTCTATCCTGTGACTGAAATGTCGAATTCAGTTACTACAAAGTTTAGCCATACGAAAAGAAGTCTCTATTTCTTTTCGAGGGAGGACATTTAGCTAGGATCACTATTAAAAGCTAAGTCTTAAGAAAAGGCACAGCATATTGAAAGAATCCCAGCACATATTTTTCCTCCATAATAATTGTATCTTTTCCCCTTTAGAAATCCAGTTAGCTGAAGAATAACTTTCCCTCTAGAGAGCTAGTCCAGGACATGTCAACACAGTGACTTTTCTATCTTTCAGGGAAAAAGCAAGAACATCTCTGGGGCACCTTCTGTGGGCAGGCTGGTGGGCAGCTGGGATGTCGCCGCTCTTCTGGTGGTCGTTAAGACCCTGAATTGTGTGGTTGTCATTCGTATGGTTGTGGTTGTTTGAGAAGAACTTTCCGCTGGCTCTGTGTTCTCACACATCTTCTCTTTTGACTAATAAGAAAAACAAAAGGGAAAACAATGTAAGAGTGATCATACATGTATTTTTAAAAGTTCCATCAAAGAAATTGTCATTTTAAAGCTGTAAAGCACAAAAAGTTCTCAAATCAAGATGAGGAATAAATTATTTTTGTACAACATTATATTTGTAGGTTTTACTAATTTACAAAGTATATAAAATAGACCAGAGAAAAAAATTGGATGTGATAAAGCATTTCCATTTATAGATATTTGCATGTCATCATTTTCTGCTGTTAATCTTTCATATTTTTGTTTATACCTTGCTCTAAATTTTCTATCAATATATTTATAAAAGATAGGATGTCAAAAGGGAAAAGCTCATACTACAAGAAAAAATGTGCATAAAGATAAGGTTTCAAAAAGCTTGCTTACGTGAAGAAAGAACGCATTCCCTTCATATCAAATTGATAATGCTAAATTCTAAAAATCTCACTCATGTAATCACTTAGCCTGTCTTTTCCCTCGCAGACTTATACTAAAGACACCTGGAAAAGGTTCATATCATATTTTTTATTTATAGCCCACAAACATAAATCCTATGACCTTCACCAGTAACAACCTCCAACATCCAAACTTTTCTGGTTTAGAAGCTTCTCTCCACCTCTTTATGCTTCAATGGACTCCATCCCTCTGGTAGGCCTTGAATAGATGGTACTCATCCAACTTTCGAAAATTATTATAAAATAAATAACTTTCTTAACCTTCTCATCATTAGTGAAGTACAATGCCCCTTATCACTGGTTCAGGAGGCATTCCTGAGACAGCTTCCTTTTTACTAGCTGGATATGACACAAGTTTATTCTCCACTTCAACTCCCATCATTCTAGGGGCCCATTCAATTCCTCCAATTTCAGTTCCTGCACCTTGTCAGCCCCAGTGATCTCATGATCCTCTCCTTGGTTCGTTCCACTTTAGTTATCTTCCCCACAGCCTGGACCTTATCTGCAGTTGGAAATGCTTTAGTTCAGAAATCATAAATTCATTATTCTATTTTCCGTCTTTCCATGAACCTGTTCACTCAAATTCTCTTATCTTTTGACCACATAGAAAACCCAAGCACAATGATTTTCTTCTTTACTCTCCTTTTTCCATCACTTCAATTTCTCTTTTCAATAACTTCAAGCATCTTGCCTTGTTTTGGTTTTTTTCCACAACACCTTTACAGAAAATCCCCAATATTGAATGTAGTACAGATATCTGCCTCTTCCCTGCCTGCAGCAAAGCCAGGCACAGCTGAAAAACAATCACACACTGAGAGCTCTACAAACTCACCTCTTGCATCCTCACTGGGGGGCCTTCCATATTGCTTGGCAATACTGCCCCACTTTGCTAATCTCTCCCATAATCCTCAGTATCAATTTCAACCCCTCTCCACTCTACTTAAAACTACAATCCCATAATTCCTCTCACAATTTTACTCCATGGGCTCACCTTTAATTTCTTTGTGGAAGAGTCATCATCAAAAATTCTTTAAATTTCTTTGCAAATCAGCATTCTTGCTTGAATCTGGACTGACCTATCCTTTCCTTCTGTCATCACGGATGGAGTCCATTATTTATAGCTAGCTATTCTCCATATCTCTACTTGGCCCAACCCAGCCCACCTTCTCGGGTGTTGTGAACTTGCTCACCTGATTCCACCCCTTCTCTACCATGTTTTCAATCTCTATTTTTCCATTGCCTTGTCACCATCAGCACATGAACATACTCAAGCATGTTCAATCTTATTTTAAAAGCCCAGTCCTCCCTGTTTTCCACAACGCATCCTGACACTATCCTACTCGCCTTCCATTCAGTCATAATTCCAGAGAGGTTGGTCTGCCCTGGTCTTCTCAGACTCCCACATCCCCACTTACGGCAATTCTGTTTTTACCCGATCCAACTTACTTGAAATTTCTCATATCAGTGTTTCTAAATATCTCCTTGTTTACTAAATCTTCCATGGTATGCTCTTGATATCTCATCAACATTTGGCACAGTTGTCCACTTTCTAATCTCGCTGCCACACTCTCATCATTTTTATGATACCTCTCTAACAACTCCTTCATTTCCTTGTGATTGTGTCTATCCTTTAAATGTTGGTATGTCTTACATATCTTTCTTGACTCCTCTTTTTGCTGTATGCATTCTCACTAGCAGTTTTCACCACACTCATGATTTCAATTAACATCTTTATGTTGATTATTCATAAATCTGTATCTCCAGTCCTCATCTATTTCTTGACTTTTAGGCCCAAATGTTCATCTATTTGACTCATGCATATGGATATCACAGACATCTCAAATACAATAAGTCTAAAATGACTTATTATTCTCCTCAAATGTTTCTATTCTCAAAAAATAGTTTCATCACACACCTAATGTTTAAGGGAAAATCCTAGACTTATTTTGCTTATGGCAGTAAAGGCAGACTAAAGACTGTAAATGCCCCTCCTGCTACAATACAAGTAGGTTCTGGATAAAATATGAGTTTTAAAGCATTACTAGGATTTTCAGGAAGCAAAGAAAATCTCCAAAGGTGCCTTTCCTTTGTCTCTCCTTCAAAACAAAACAAAGCAAAAGCTGCGTGCTGTGAAGAGAGTAGGAGCGGTACACATTAAGCAAAGTAAAAAAATCAGGGTTTGCTCTAAGGGGAAAAATGTCAAAAGTCAATACTGCTCTGTGGAGATGAAGCCTTGCACCAGCAGTGGATGGGGGCGATAAATCTCAACCTCTGCTCCCCATATTAAGGCAGGGACATACGGTAGCCCCAAAAACCCTCAGCTTCCCATAATCAAACACTCTTTAGTGGAAAGCATCACCTACCAAAGTCCTAGGGAGTAAGATCAGACAAACATGCACTTTTAATTGAAGAACACGAGGTAACACACACACAAAAAGAGGACTCTCACAAGGCCAGCAAAAGCAATGAGCAACATATTTAGACTACCAAAAACTTTAGATATTGGGGTCATCCAATATAAAATATATAAAAATCATATATGAAATATTTAAGGAAATGAAATAGTAGCATAGACTATAAACATGACTTGGCAGATTTAATTAAATTTAACCAATTAACACATTTAACTTAATTTAAATTTAGAGTGTCAAATTTAAATTTTAGAAATGAAAAATATATTTGTTAAAAATTGTTACCTCAATGGATAGGTTAAGTAGCAGATTAAACAAGATGAAGGAAGAATTAATGAGCTGGCAAATAGATTTAAAGAAATTCCCCAGGATGTGGTACAAAGAAATAAGAAGATAGATAATATAAAACAGAGGTTAAGAGAGACAAGGAAGTGATGAGAAGGTCAAGCCTATCTCCAAAGGGCTCAGAAGGTGAAATGAGAGAGAATGGAGAAAGTCTGACTGAATAGTACATTTATCAAACTTGACACCCAATCAATTAGAAAACACACATTCTTCTTGGGCACATATAGATCATTTGTACAAATTATCCATGTGCTACTCCATAAAACAATTTCAACCAATTTTAAAGAATCAGTATCATATAGAATATGCTCTCTGATAAGAATTCAATTATGTTAGAAGTTAATAATAAAAAGATAAATTTTAGGAATTTCCGTAATTTGGAAATGCGAAATAATTCAAAATTCAATGTAATTCCAATAAAAATATTAACAAGATTGATTGATTGATTTCAGATCTGATTTAGTTGAGTCTACAATTTATATGAAGAACAAAGGCACCCAAACTGTCAAAACACTTGTAAAGAAGAAAAGTAAGGAGACTTGTCCTATAGATAGCAAGATTCCTTCTAAAACTATAATAATTAAGACAGTGTGACATTGGTTAAGGTATTGACAAACTGAGCATTAGAAGAGGACAGCGCAGAAACTGTCTCCCTGTCTATATGGAAACTATATAAAGGAGTGCTGACACTGAAAGAAATTGCCAAAAGAAAAGATTATTTAATAAATTGTGAAATTATCCATAAGGAGGAAACCTCCCACGAATAGGATTCCTATCTTATATCACACATAGATGCCAACTGCAAATGGAATAAAGACTTTAATCTGAAAGACAAAGCTTTAAAATATTTAGAAGAGGACAATCTAGAAAAATGGGTAAACTGCTAGATACATACAAGCTGCTAAGATTGAACCATGAAGAAATACAAAATCTGAATAGATCAATTACTGGTAAGGAGATTGAATCAGTTATTAAAAACCTCCCAACAAACAAAAATCCAGAACTAGGATTTTTGATAGAACTAGATGCCTTAACTGGCGAATTCTACCATATATTCAAAGAATTAATGCCACTCCTTCCTGAACTCTTCCAAAAAACAGGAGGAAACATACTCAAACTTATTTTATGAGGCCAGCATTACCTTGATACTAGGCAAGGACACCACAAAAAAGAAGACTATAGTCTAATACCCCTGATTAACAAAGATGCAAAAATCCTCAAAAAAAATTAGCAAATTGAATTCAACAATACATTAAAAGGATCATATACCATGATCGAGTGTGATGCATTCCAGGGATGTAAGGATAGTTCAACATTCACAAATCAATCAATGTGATATACCACATTACAGAATGAAAGACAAAAATCACATGATCATCTGAATAGTTGCAGGGAAAGCATTTGACAAAATCCAACATCCATTTATAATAAAAAACTCTCAACAACGTTAAGTATAGAGGGAAAGATATTCTGTGCTCATACATTGGAAGTATTAGTCGATTAGTTCAAGGTGTATGACATAATGATTTGATATTTGTATATATTGCAAAATGATCACCACAGTAAGCCTAGTTAACATCTATCACCATACATAGCTACTAAATTTTTTTCTTGTAATAAGAACTTTTAAGATCTACTCTCTTCACAACTTTCAAATATGCAACACAGTATTATTAACTACAGTCACCATGCTGCATATTATATCCCCTGACTTATTTATTTTATAACTGGAAATTTGTACCTTTTCACCATCTTCACTCATTTTGCCCACTCCCCAACCACTGCCTCTAGCAACTAACAATCTGTTCTCTGAATCTATGAGCTCATTTTTTGTTGCTGCTGTTGCTTTAGATTCCACATGTGAGATCATACGGTATTTGTCTATCTCTGTCTGACTTATTTCACTTGGTATAATGCCCTCAAAGCCCATCCACGCTGTCACAAGTGACAAGATTTACCTTCTTTTTCTTATGGCTGAATAATATTGCACTGTATATATGGATCACATTTTCTGCATCCATTCATCCATCTACGGACACTTAGGTTGTTTCCATACCACAGCTATTGTCAATAATGCTGCAATGAACATGGGGGTGCATATATCTTTTTGAGCTAGTGTTTCCATTTCCTTTGTATAAATACCCAGAAGTGGCATTGCTGGATCATGTTAGTTCTATTTTTAATTTTTCGAGGAATCTCCATACTTCCGTTGCCTTTAAGATAAAGCCCAAACTCCTTCAATTTGTCACACTTAGGGCCCTGTTTACATCTCCAATCTCATCGCTCACCATTCCTCTTAGCTTCAGTCGCCCTCCCAGCGTCATCTTAAATATCACCTCCTCAAGCAAAGCTTCCCTCACCCTACTTTATAAGGCTGCAACTTGTAGTTACTGTCTTCGCCCCCGTCATTCTCTAAGTGCAGACCTTTGTTCAGTGGTCTATCTACCCTGCTGGACACACTTCTTACACTCTTACGTTATCAGTGCTTAGAAAAGTGCATAGTAAATGCTCCTATTAGGAATGTACTTATAGAATGAATTTCATCTCACAGGATCAGAAAGGAAATTTAACTCTAGTTTTAGGCATGGAAAATGGGCTGGAATTGGTGACCTTGTTTACTTACCTGTAAAAGAAGGATAAAATTGCTCCCCATAAGGCTAGTCATGTTGATAATTTAATTACAGAATAAAAAGGAAACATTGAATATTAAAGAATGTACTAAACTCGGGGCTTCTTGGGAACAGGGGGTAATTTTTTTTTATCTTAGTAATTTTAGCACTGAGCACAGGCTACAGAACATGGTAAATTCTCCACAAATACAGTTAGGAGGGCTTAAAATATGATGGCTTCTTCTATCTCCTAGGGTTCACAGTAGACCCACACTGAAGCAAGGAAATTAAAATGTCTGAATTACCCCCTTAATCCTTACACAAATATAGATATGCAATTTCCATCATTTTTTTTTATTGAGGTAACTGTGATTACATGAAAAAAAAATCAACCTGAAAACAAAACCATGGCTCCATCGCTATATATTTTTTTGACTTATGTTGTTAAGGAAATGAAATGAAACAGATGGATTAGTATATATCACTGTAATTTCCCAAATGATTGTCAAAAAGTTGATTAAAGCTGCATAGGCAATACTATATTTGAAAGTTTAAGAATATTCTCAAAGATGTATTTCTCAAGAAATTTATGAGACATCATAAATAAAAACTTAATTTTAAAAAAAGGCTCTGGTAACCACTGATCTCCTAATCGTTTTTAAAACAGCACTTTGACATGATCTGCTTTACCGAATGGGAAAGCTTGTATAATTCTTCACGGTTGTTATTCAAAATTCATACCCTAAAACTGAACAAAGGGAGAAGAAACAAGCACTTTTTTTTTGTGAACCTAATAGGATATCTTTATGTGACCTTGAAATGACAGTGTGAATGCAATTCACTGGAGAATTCTAAACAGGTTAAAATTGCTTCTGCAATCGTATACACTTGGTTGAATCACTCCATTGCATCATCTCTATAACCTTTTCCTGAGAGTTACTGTCTCCATGTTAAACCATTTTTAACTTCTTTATATCACCCCAGTTTGCTGTAATGAATCTTTTCCTTCATACCATTGGTTTTGCTATTTGAGTGAAAAAGGTGAACAATGGCTTCCTAGATCTTAGAAAAGCTGCAACTGTTTAAGAGAACTGCCCTTTGCTCATGGAAATTCAAATCCTGCCTCTACTACTCACTAGTCACATATCTAACTCTGGATAACCTCACCGCAACCCTCTCTCCAACAGCTCCCCTCTCCTTCCCTCTTCTCTTGATAATACGAAGGCAGTAACAGCTCCTACCTCATAGGGTGGGTATGAGAATAAATTGAAATAATACACGTAGAGTGAAACCCAACATCTGGTACATTTTAAGGGCTCAATAACTGATGGCTATTTTTGTTAAATTAGATACCATTTTCATTAAGTTGTAGCAACTATATACGACAGCTTGGTCCCAGGAATCTTGTCATAAAAGCTCATGTGTACCTCTTCAGGGCATCCACTGTCCACCCAGTCCTGCCGATGGCGATCAAATCCACTGGAACATCTTCAGAGAAGAGCACATTGCAGTTCAGAAAAGAAAGTATGGGGTGCAGAGTGGAGGGGCAGAAATTAAAAGAAAAAGGTCAGTAAGTGGTTAATTCTCAAATTTTCAGTTTAGCACAACATAAACTCTCTCCTGGAGAACTGTTAACCGGGGCAACTGTGAAGCACTGACAGTGTTCCGAGTAACGACTCACGCCTTCGGTAGTCCCGCTATGAGAATCACACCTGGCAACAAATTAGTCCACCGAGGCCCACGATGCTGTGCAGAACACCTGGATCCCCGTGCAAAGGGAAGACTGATCGCTACTATATGAAGTTGGTTTTCTTTTTCCTCATACTTTTTTTCCTTATCAAAACAAATGGATACAAACAAATCTTTTGCAGGTATCATTTTTCAGGATTTTAGATCTTTTTATTGTTTTTCTTCTTATTATTTTTTTAAATTTAAGACCCATAGTTACACAAACTCTTTCTTTATTGTGCAGTAAAGGGTGAACTCAGCAAGTTGGGGTGTTCAAACCCTCACATTCCAAAGAAAGAACTGGCCCTTCTCCAGCTCCTGGGAGATGACCTCTAAGCTCTTGGGATATGCTGCCTGATAAGGATGGCTTTCTATATCTTTGGCCTTGGGCTATGCAAGATAGTTTAAACTAACAACAGGATTTATGGTGAATGTCTCTTTTTATTTGCCTGGAGCTCTGGGCCAGGCTGTAACAATTTGACCTCTTGTAGGGGCTGGAGAATAGACATAAGGTTAGTCACAGGGCATTTCATACCTACGTGACTGACCCTCAATAAAAACCCTGGACACCAAGGCCTGCGTGAGCTTCCTAGGTTGGCAGTGCTTGGTGTGCGTTTTCAGAAATTGTTGCTGGGGGCATTAAGTTCTGTGTGTACGACTCCATTGGGAAAGGACAACTGGAAGCACATGCCCAGTCTCTCCTGGACTCTGCCCTGTGTGCCTTTCACCTTTGCTGATTTTAATCTGTATGGTTTTGCTGTAATAAATGGTAACCTTGAGTATAAAAGCTTTTCTAAGTTCTGAGTCCTTCTCGTGAATCAGTGACCCTGAGTGTGTTCTTGCACAACCTAACAACACTATGATCAGGTCATATCTAAAAGGTTTAATTCAGCAAGCACTGGGTTACTAAGATTTCATTCACTCCTACTCTCTTCCTTGACTGGAATAATTTTCTCCCCTCTCTATCTATCCAGCTACAGACCATTCACTTTTCAAGACCCAGAAATTACTATGCAGAAGAGCTCATTCTGATAAAGCTTCGTAATTGCTGTGATCACATCTTACTTTACTAAACATTTCTTCTTTGTATAAAATTTCATTTGCTTATGTCTTATTTATAAAATTTGATTGTAAACATTTTAAAGTAAGGGCCAGTGTTATACCTATTATATCTGACATATGATTTGTTATTCATATTAGAAATTCAAAATATTTTTGATAGTCTAGTAAAATTAAGGATTTACATTGCCCCCAAATTTTAATATTTAGGTATGTATTTATATATATTATATATGAATCCATATCAACAAATATTAACATAGATATTTATATATTTTTCAAAATAAATGAAGATCATTCAACTTTTGTCTTATATTTTCTTATAGTGCTACTTTCCAACTTTTTAACACTTAGTCCACATGATGACTTTTTCTAAGAATCCTTGCCAGAGATTATGTACCATGGCATGAATGAACATAATTTCACTCAAGTGGAATGTGAAAACAACTCTACTGTCAACAAAAAAGACCGTATCTATCATTCTGCCTGGACATGATCCATTAGAGCTCAACTATTTTATGCCTACAATCTGTGTTGAATAAGCTTGAGTGTGGAATAAACATCAGTGTGTGATCTGGCATCGAAGTTTGAGAATCCCCAGTTGGTCAAGGCTATCTCTGGTCACCCAAAGAGACTAATGTTTGGAGTCTATTTAATTCCAGATAAGTTAGATGGTTGTCCCCACTTCTCCTTTTTTCCTTTCAAGTTTCTTTAAATATTGAAAAATGTACTGACATTCTCTTTTGCCATGGGGATATATCGATCTTCTACAGAAAATATATTTTGGGAGCAGCCACCTGACCACAAGTAAATAAATGGAACAGATAATTTTTAGAATGCAGTTTGTCTTCACTTACTTAATTCCAGATGTATTCAAAGCCAGTGGGAAATAATAACTTTTACCATATATTATAACAAGACAGTACCCTATCTTAAATTTATGGGTCAACTGAAATTTTATCTTAAGTAATTAGTCCTTTAAATTGTTAAATTAATCCCAGGGAAAAGTATGGAAACACTGCATTTTGCTTGATTTATTAAGCAATCCCCCAGTTGTGCTACGTGAAATTAGCTTCTACTGAAAATATGTGACTCAAGCAGGTAATTTATTCATTTATTTGCAATTGATTTCCTATTAATTGACCTGTAGTTTCCTAATTGCTGGGGTGGGAAGGATTTGAAGTGGCAAAACACAAATAAGATTTGATTTGAAAAGCTCGTGCATTTTTGTAGCTTACACTGCCTTGAAAATCAACACAACTGGATGCCACTGTCTTTTCAGTGTTTTTTTTTATAACTTGGTAATCTAAATAGCATCCAAAGAAATTATAACCAAGAGTGTGTATGTGTGTGTTATAAATCATTAAGAAAAAAACACCTTTCTATTATTTCTGAATTCTAAATAAACCAAAAAATTACTTTTGAGAACACTTTCCTCTTTCCACTGAGCTGCATTGCATTTTGAGCTAAAACGCAATGACATTAACCATGACATGCTCCAGCACATTGATTTCCCGACACTGTTAACAGTGTTTGCAAAGAGGCTCTCCTACATTGGAATCACGGAGAATCCTGTTGAAATGCAAATCTTGGGGTCTAGCTGAATACGATTCTCTGGCAATTTGGGTCCAGCAGTTTTCATTGTAAACAAGCACCCCAGATGATTGTTACCACACTGAAATCTGAAAACTACTGACTTTCTGTACAATATGTCAATGTGATGGGGCCCCTTCCCACTCATCTCGTCCATCGTCTACAAGCTTTTCTTATGCTCCTTGGTGCTCCTCCCTGAATGTGCTGTCCTGTTTCATGTCTCTGCCTTTGAATCTGCTATTACTTATGTCTGGAATACCTTCCTGGTCTCTAATTAGCAAACCCAATTCAACTCAAGCCTAAATCTTCTCCAAGAACCATCTCCTTCTCCTCCCACCCAGAAGAATTAGCAACCCTTTCTCAGTGCCCACCAATATCAAGTGCTAGAGTCTATTATTATACTACAATTGGTTGTTTTTGAGCTGATTTTACTCTTAAGACTTTGGGGAGAACATGCTTCAAAGAGGGGTTCTGAAGTCCAACTGCTTGAGTTAGAATTTTGGCTTGGGCACAAAAATAGGTATGTGATTTTAGGCAAGCTACTTTTTCTATATAAGCTTGTTTCCTCATCTATAAAATGAAGTAAGAGAGGTTATGTAAGAATTAAAAGTAGAGTATTTGATACATAGTCAACATTTAGTAAATATCAGCTGTTTTTAACACCTAAATAATGTCTTTGTAGTATGCATGTAACAAGGTTGACGATTATTGAAAATGACTAAGTGAGATTTTCATTTTATTGACAGTATTTTGTAAAATATTTAATTAATTCTGTGTACCATATAAATGTGAGATGTGTTTTATACCTAAAGTCCTTTATCATCATATTTGGGAACTAGTATTATAGAATTTTATGAGAGAAAATCCAAGTTGCTCTCAAATGTGGCCCAAATCTTCATTCAATATTTATAAACAGACAGAGATTATGCGGTTTTGTAAATATTCCTCAAAAGTTGATTTCAATAAAGTCTGAGCTCCTGACTGTAGTAGGTTCTGACGTTTTTATTTTCACGTTATTCCCTTTTCACTATTACCTAATTCCCAAACAAATTGATAGAGAGTTATATTTCAAATTAATTGTAGTATTCTCCACTCAGTTTCAATGGGATGTTGATTTCAATGCCCCTAGGAACCATGTTAAGTGAACCCCATTAAACAAGGCAGCCTAGAAAACAAACAATATCCTCCTAGCTTGCAGCATCTATTCAATTACGAGATTAAAGTGTAAATTTCATCAAACCTCTAATTTATCTCAAATTGTAGAACGGGTTTCAGAAATATGACTTATTTTGCAAGGGTAGTATATTCAGGTGAAGGAAATAAAGTAAATGCTAAAATATATACATAAGCAATACATGAGGATTAAAAATTAAGTGCACGTCTTACTGCACAATTGAACATGTGTCATTGTACCAGTGAGACGAAACACGTACAAAAGAGAAGTTAGGGAAGAAACTTCACTGAGTCTTAGACCCAGTAGGAATTTTCTAGATCAGTTTCTAGACCAAGATCAACAAAAGTTTTCTGTAAAGGATCCGATCGTAAATATTTTAGGCTTTGTCTGTCATACAGTTTCTGTCTTAACTACTCACCCTTGCCCTTGTAGCTCAGAAGCAGCCACAGACAAAGGCATAAAGAAATGGACGTGGCTATGTTCCAGTAAAACTTTATTTACAAAAAGAGGAAGTGGGTCAAATTTGGCCCAATTGCTGTAGTTTGCTGATGTCTGTTCTAGATTATTACCTGAAAATTAAGATCTGTAAAATTCTGAAGACTTTAGGACAAATATCTCATCAAGGTGTCTAATGATTTAAATGGTCCCTACAGCCTTAGACATATTTATCAGAATGGGCTATATTAATGGAACAATCAATTGTCCATTTAGTAAATTTTCTTGCCATAGTCTGCAAAAATGTGAAAAATGGTCCTCCAGCATCAAAAAAATGGAAAAATGAATTAAAAAGAAGCAAATATTTTAGATGAGAAACAGGGATAATGATAAACAGCCATGATTATAACTAAAAACATAGTTTATCATGAGATAAAATAGGTAACATGTAGTAGGGAGCTGTAAGATATGGGGAAATAATTTTGTTTTGAAAGAGTGA